GCAAATCTAGCCCTGAGGATTTCTTGGCAAGTCCAGCGGGCCGGACCTCATAAATAAATATTCTTAGACATATATCTAAGCCTGCAAACCAAGCCATTTAAGTTCAGCTAAAGGCTCATGAGTTCATTATTTAACTAGAGGAAATGGTCCATGTTGCAAGATACTAAAAATTCACGTGATAGGTCCTGCTGTGGAAAATGCATCTGTTTTTCTAATTCACTGGATAAAACTCAGGGTGAAGACAGCTGAGGTGCAGGAGCAGCAGGGCTCCACTGTGGCCCCATCACCACAATTGGCAGGTGTCCCACCTGGCTCACAGGATTGCAGGCTCTCCTTTTCAAGGTCTGCTGGCCTTCTCTGTGATTGAGATCAGCCTGTGGGAAGACTGTGAAGGAGAAACTTATCCCCACCATGTGACACGTCTTCTTTTTCTTATGCCTCCACCCACCATAGGCTTAGCCTTCCAATGATCAGATGCATGCTTGGAGATCAAGCCTCCCCATTTTGTCTTCCTCCTTCTGCACAGCAGAATGGTAACAAGCGTTTAGGAGGTATCTTTAAGTTCTGCTTGTGATTTAACTAAAAAAAAAAAAATCTGGTCTCCAACTGGTCCAATCATGGAGTCATTTCAAAGACACAATCCCAAAGTGACTAGGGCAGCCCAAGTCTACAGCTGTCAAACACTGAATAGTGTTTGACACTGGCTCCTTGCTCAGCGGGGAACCTGCTTCTCCCTCTCTCTCCCTCTGCTTGTGCTCTCTCTGTCAAATAAATAAAACCTTTAAAAAAAAAAAAAAGGAAAGAAAATATTAGTAGAATGAGTGCGTCTGCCAGCCACAACCTCACTGTAGTCAAACCACCCTGTAATGGAGCCAGGATTTGAGTCTTTGAGGCACAAAGACCTTGTTATTTGCCATGTGACCATTATGACACCTAAACTTCCATTCTTTGGTGGAGCCAAGTAGGCCCAGCTCTCCGTGCTCCAATGGAGCAGCATCTCCACTGTGACAGTGCACTTAACAGACAGGGTCTATTCCTGATTGTAGATTTTCCAAAATTGTTGTCCAACCACAGCTTCAAACAAAGCCTTCGGTGCCTCCATGTTGGGATGAATTGGAACTTACGGGCTCTGATGTAAGAAATGCAGCATCAAAAACAAAGCTTCTATTTCTTTGCACATATAATTGTCAACCACCACGAGGCTCTTAGGTCCTTCACAATTGGCTCACCAACAATTTTATAGCCATTCGTTGTCCCTTAAACAAGGCGACCATCCTCACAAACCAGATTTCACATATTCCCAGGCTACAGTAGCTCATAGGTGCAGCTGCTGATCACGAGCTGGCCCGTTTCAAAAGCAGCTCTATTCCCAAACCACTCTGAGTTAAACTGACACGTTCTAAGGGACTCGATGTGGAATATTCCATTATCAGGATGATGACAAATTCCCTAAGAATCCTCTTCCGGTGCCAAACTCACATGAGATTATCAGAGATGTGCTTTGGATAAGCATTGTACTTGGGGTGAGTTTAGGAGAGGAAATAAAGTGCCAGAAGGAAGCAACCTCTGCCCTGGTTTCTATCACTCCTAGAAAGAAAAAGTCAAAAAGCCACTTCAGCTACCAACCACCTCTGCCGGTAGAGGGTCATGCAGGCTGGTCGGGAGGGAGAACTTGAGCAAGAGAGCCAGGCAGATGGGCTCAGCCCCGAGGAGCACCCCCAAAGCACTGCTGTGGGTGATGCCTCTGTGGGGCCATGGGGGAGTGAGGAAACCAGAGCTTTGTGTGTTGGTCCAGTTGATTAATCATCCCTGTGTTTGGACAATGAACCAGGACAAACTGACTTCACCTGCTGGATAGACACATCTGTCAAACCCACATAAACACACATAGCAGCCCAGTGAGGTGGGAAGCATTAAATCTAGTTCTACAGATGGGCTTTGGGCAGTCTGATGGTTGGATGATTGTTCACAGATATTCACTCACCTCTCCTCCCAAGCAGCCCCAGGGCAGGAGTGCATTCGCTCATCACACTGACATGGGGCTTGGCCAGGGGATATGATTTGGCCAAGAATATGAGCAGATGTGAAATGAGCACAAGACTTCAATGTGCTTGCGCAGTTTGGCTTGACTCTTAAGCACTGAGATTTGCCATTTAAAAGAGCTTCCCAGGCTGCCTCTTCAACCTGAACCCCAGAACAAAATAGCACAGCAGACTTAGGTTTTGCCCAAAGCCCAGAGCCAAACCCAGCTGACCCACAGCTGGAAACAGAGCCGACCACTGGGCGCAGGGCTGAATGGCTCCACTGCATTGACATGGAGGTTCATAAGCATGAGAGTAAGTCCTTTTAATATGCCATTGAGTTTGGGAATGGCTTGTTATGCAGCATTACTCTGGCAATAGCTAGCTGATACAGAAAGGGGTTTGATTCCAAGCATTCAGATTTGCCCATCTCCAAATCCAATGCTCTTTTAAATGTACCATGTAGAACAGTGTGGAGGTGGGAAATCAGGGAAAATTTGGGCAACAGTCCCCTCTACAGTATAGCTTACTACTGAAGCATCCAGAAGGTTCAAAGACAAAAGATGAACATTACACAGGAGCTCATTCAGGAGAGTAGTTTGTTGACCTAGATTTCTGTTCCCAGAAGATATTCCACATGAATTTTTTGGCTCACCCAACTTAAAAAATAACACCCTTGCTAATTCATGAGCTTCATCTGTGAACCTAAAACATGTTGAAATGCAGATCTCCCTGTGTTTAAACTTAGCTGAAATACTTGTTCTCAACATTGTACAATAAAACACACTAGCTTAAGCATGAAAATAGTAATATTTTTACAGAAGTAAAGAAATGACAAAATACAGTTATCATATAAAATCTCTCCATTCTGCTACCAGGAGCCATGTTTGACAGACTCTAAATCCTGCGGCCTTTTCATGATGTCACGTGGAACCAATGGTGTGGAGGTAGGGAACGGCTGAGTGTTAAGAGTATTTATTAAGCTGAGGTGCAAAGCTGATTTGTTTGTATTTGCATTTTCGTCCTTTTGCTGGGCTTTGCTCCTCTCTCCTCTGCTCATGACGTAAATTAAGGAAATACAGTGAATTAAAGAAGAAAGTTAGGGAAGCATTAAATCAACAGAAACTATGTGATTTTTAAAAAGTCTTAAAATTTCCATCCTCTTTATCAAGAACAGGAATTTATTGTTACAAGGGGAAAAAATTTTTTAAATACTCCCCTTTTTTTTTTACATAAAGCTCTTGAATCATGGTAGAAAAACAGATGTCCCTTCATTTTTACTTTGATTTTTTTTATTCCATTGGGAAACGCTTTGTGTGCATATTTTTAAGCATCCTATAAACTTAAGAAAAAGAGGTTTCTCCATCAAAGATATAAACAAGAAATCACTCCTGTGCTCTGCGATGTCTGAATTTTGATCATCAAGATGCAGTTCTTTGGGGAGACCACAGTGGACTGTTCATGTTTGCTGGCTATCCCTACATGACAGGCACTGTGCTGGGCACTCTGTACACACACATAGGTGTGAGTCCCCATGACAGCCCTGAGGTCTGCTGCGTAATGTGCATTTGCAGATGAGACCCAGAAAAGTTATGTTACTTTCCCAAAGACATGTAAGTAGTAAGTGGTGGTCTCGGATTGAACCCAGTGTATCTGGCTCCAGATCCCATGCATCTTCCACAGCTCCAGGCTGCATCCTTCCAGACTCCTTCCTTGTCCTCAGTAGGAGGGACGCACCCCTGTTCAGCCTGGAGAGGAAGCTTGCTTTCCAGGCAGGTGGGCAATAAGCATCAAGTTCAGACCAACTGTCTGTCACTCGCCCTGGACTCTGTGAAGTGTGTCTCCACCCTCTCCTTCAGTGTTCAGTTTGGGGTTCTTTTACTAGCTTATCTTGGGGAGGCATGTGTGTGACACCCCATCCATTTTCCTTTCCCTTAGAAATCACACTGAAACTTTTGATGTTTAGGAAGGGGGAATTCAAGCTAAAGAAGTTAAACAGTAGCAGTGGAAGTTTGCAGATTTTACTCTTTCCTTCTGTGTTTGCCTTTCAGTAAAGGAACTGCTCATGATTAGGTACATTATCATAGAGACATATGTTTTTATAATGATGGATACTTCTCATAACGCATTTTTCCCGACAGGGGACCGGGGTCAGTGGCAGCTCTGGTGAATCATCAATGACTTGGCAAAGACTAATGATCAAAACTAAAAATTAACCTCTTAGCACTTTCTCTAACAACTTGTGACACCACTGTTATTCATGTAATTATAATTTAGGATTGTTCAAGACACAGACCTAGCGATTATGCTTTCTCCTCTATCCTGGACATCCAACGCATTAGCACATCCTGTAGTTTGAGGTCCAAAACCTTGCCTCCCTTCGCTTCTCTCCATGCTAAGGTCACCTCTGCGGTTGCTGCCACTGTCACCTCCCCCTTGGATGAGCTGGGCCACTGGCAACAGTGATGTCAGAACGGTAAGTTCTAATGGGGACTGTGCCCCAAGCCCAGTCACCCCCACCCCCAGAGCTGCCTTCCATACTGGGGAGTCCAGTGCCAGGCCATATTCCTCCCGTTTATTATCTGTGCCCCTGGCAGGAGTTGCAGCTGCATGCACACGCTCAGGCAGGCCTCGATCTCCTGTGACTGGCACCCCGTGCACGCTCAGCAGCTAGCTGGGGACTGGACGTTCCTCCTGCTCTGTGCTGAGCTCATGAGAGGCACCACTGGGTTCTTTCCCGCCATGAGCTGGGTTCACACGCTGAGTCAGCTGGACACACAGGAGTCGAAAGAAATCACGTGACGTTTCACAAAGACAGGCAGACAGATGGAATTCACTTCTTCATCATGTTATTTTTGTATTATAATTATGGGTCTGCTCTGACAAGAGACACGCAAGCTCTATGATGGCAGGGTTCAGGCAGCTTGGTTGGTGGGTTGGGTGGTCTTCGCTGCTGTCCCTCAGGGCCTAGAACCATACCTGACACACAGTAGGCGCTCCATAAGTACTCGGGGGCATCGGAGAAATGTTGGAGCTGCTGCAGGCTCTTGTCATCTCAGGTCTCTGAGGACGTAGAGAAAAGTAAGTGAGCATTCATCAACCTCACCTGGAGGTCTGTATGTGAGCAGAGAATCCCTGGGAGCCAGGGGGGCAAGCAGCTGGCCTGCCCGCTGTCCTTCCCGCGTCCTGCCTGCACCCCAGGACAGAGCTCTTCCCCACCTCCGCCGAGAGCAGCTCCGAACTCTGAACTCTGTGGGTGACACTACCCATGCCTCTCCCAGATGCCCTTGGATCCTTCTAGCACCCGGAATGCCCCGTCTCCCGGGTCTGTGCTTACCTCACTAGCTAGCAAGGCCTTCTGCACAACCTGGCCTTGGGAAGTGTTCAACGTGGCGGCGGGAGACACACTAAGGGGAGAAGGGGAAGGTGAGCAAGACTGAACTCATCTTTCTCCCAGTTACTTGCTTCCCCTTTTTCTCTTCTTTTCCACACAAGTCCAGATTTGGGGGTAGGACTCAGCCTGGGGAAATTCAGAGAGTTGAGCTGACCACACTGGGGCCTGACATCTCCCTGAGCATGCTCATGGGTGTGTGGAGGGACCAGGGGGCCCAGAACACCCCTTCCACCCCAGAAGAACACACCCCCAGTGAGGCAGCTGGGACCTGAGAACTCGCCAGGGGGATCTGCCCATCCTGGTTCAGTGGAAGCCTTGTCCTTACTGTAGCTTCAGTGACAATCATTCACGTTTCTAGAAAGTTCCATGATCTGCCTTTCTGCACAGACCTCACAAGGCTGTTACATCCAAGGTTTATTTGGCTCTTAACTTTTAAATGCAGTCACGATTTTTCCATTCTCACTGATCTGGATTAATTTGGCCAAGCCTGAGCTCACAACTTTTAAGCATTCAATTTTTTTTCGGTTAAAAAAAAAAAAAAAAAAAAAGCATCAGAAAACCCTCATCCATTTTGCCCGGCTCTAATTCTGGAACTTGGGTATTTTGTTTGAACTGTAGGAAATGCAATTTGGTGGCCCCATCTCGGTCTGTGTGGGCGCCTCATAATCAGGAAGCGGTGGGTAGGGACAGACCCCCAAGGCAGAGGGGAGCCCTAAGGCTGAGTCATTCCATTTGCTGCCTCTTGGCCACAGGCGTTCAGCCATTGTCGCTGCCTCTGGAATGAGTCAAATTCCAAATCCCATGGATACCTTGGTCCCTCCAGAGATCTGGCAGTCCACACGACTAGGACATTTGTTCCTAATTTTCTACCCACGTCCCACTCCACAAGTGACTGGAACTTCCCACTGGGGGCTGCAACCACAAACTAAGACTGCTGACCTCAGGCATAGCTCTTTTGGCTTTTGAAGATTCCCAACCCGGAAAATGGAAGTATTTATATTGTTGGCATCTGAGTTCAGAGCTGAGTGGTCTTCTGGGAACATGATAGGTTATTCCATTAACTCTGGGAATCAGACAGGATTTTCTCAGCCCCGTTGTTGAAGGCTTCCAAGAAATGCAGCGCTGGGGGACAAAGGGACAAAGAGTGGTTGTCTGAGTTTCAGGGAAGGGAGAAAGTTGAGGCAGTAGACTTGGGGGTCTTTGCCTTTGGGGTAGGGGAAAGTATTTGTCCATGAACCGTCCATGAGTCTCGGGGATTCGGTGGGATGTCTTTAGCTCGCAGGCCTCAGAAGGGAAGCCCCATCCCATAGCCTTGGACCCTGACCACTTCTGAGATATCCAAAGACCAGCAATGCCGTGGGTTCCCCGAAATTCTCAGCCAGGCCTTACCCCTCACTCCCATCCCTCCTTGCCGTGCTGTTGATAAGCAGTAAGCTGCATCTTGCTGTAAGAAGGCTGAGAGCCGTAACGGAAAATGCCAGACCCAAGGCAGTTCCTTTTGGGGCAGTATCAGCCCGAGGCACATTTAGTGGCCTGCTGAGAAATGTTAGCTCCGTTAGGCAGAAACTTTGGCCCATACAGGTCTTTTAGGGGACAGCTGACATCTCTACTTCCCAATTTCAAGGTTTGAGGCATGTGGAAGAATGCGTAGAATTTTCTGGGAAGGGTTGTAGGTGAGGTGGCTTTAGTGACCCCTCTTCCCACACCGCTTCCCAGCCATCACTCCTGCTCCTTAAGGATCAGGCCATCAGCACCACAACCTGCTCAGTCACCTGCAAACCACTTCACCGCATCCACGTCACAAGACGGAGGAAGAGGTAGTGTTCGTTCCCTTAATGCTTTTAGCCGCTCACCCGGCTTATAATAAGGACTCGCGAGACCTATTTGGGGCATAAGCAACCTTACAGATAAGCACACACTTATTTTCTTATAGTTCTGGAGATCAGCAGCCCAAAGCCGGCATCACTGGGCCGAAATCAAGGTGTCTGCAGGCTGCACCCTCCCTGGGGGCTCTGGGGAGAATCATCAGTTCCTTAAACCTTCCAATTTCTGGTGCCTGTCGCTGTCCTCGGCTTGTGGCCACATCCCTCCAAACTCAGCCTCCGTGGCCACCTGGCCTTCTCTTCTGTGATCAAATCTCTGTCTGCCTCCCTCTTCTGGGGATACGGGTGCTTGCATCTCGGGCCCACCTGCACAATCCAGGCTAATCTCCCTGCCTCAAGATTCTTAATGTAATCATTACTTTTTTTTTTTTTTTTTTTTGCATATAGAAACGCACAGGTCCTTGGGGTTATAATGTGACTATCTTTTGGAGAATCAATTTCAGCTTTTCTCAAACTTCAGATGTACAGCTTCAACCCTGGCCTTTATATTGAGCTGGAGGTCTAGATTTCTAACAACAGCACTTCCCATCCCCGGGGCCGGGGAACGGAGGGAAGGGCTCTGTGTAGACCGCTCCCTCTCTGCCCTTGTATTCAAGGTCTAATTTTGAGCCCTGGTGCCAAGAGGACCAGGCAAGGTCTTGCTTTGTCCCTGGGGCAGGTCAGTTTGTGCTCACTCAGTGAGAAGGGCCTGACCACAGTGGAAAGTTTGGGGAGTATCCCAGGGATTGGGGGCGTCGGGCAAGCCTGCTTGCTCTGCATGCCCTGTTTGCTTGTTTTGTCTTTCCAGTTGTCATTGCAGTGGTCCAGGCAGCTGGAACGGTCTGCAGGGTCTGCTCTGTCTGAGCATCTTCACATGGATTCATTTCCTTGCTCTGGCATCTCTGGAGGGGGTCTTCTCACTAGGAGCAACAACACGCTCCGTATAAGACGTGACCAAAGGCACCGGAGGAACAAAAGATCAGAGGCAGCAGTAAAAACATAACTCACCCCCAGAATAGAGTCTCGGTGTCGGTGGGGTGAGGGACATCAGGAAGCCCCATGCTATGGCTGGTCTCCAGCCAGACGGGCGTCACATGCACACTGTGAAGACACATCTCCCCGGATCGTGGGACCCTCGCCAGGAGCACTCAGCCAGGTACCGTGCACGTGGGTCAGCGCTCGGACGTGCTGGGTAGCATCTGGGCCTTCAGCCACTAACCAGGAAATGAGGTATTCCGCGGGGAAGGGGTTTGTGCGTATCAGTGCAGGCTCGGGAGAGGTCCCAGGGCTGCAGAGAAACTGGACGGTTCTATGTGACTCCTGGGAGCTTAGCATGAGGGAACAGCAGCTGCCGTGGAGGGGGGCAGAAGATTGAATTTACATGATGAAGGGAAGGCCAGCGAAGCTGTGGCCTCACCTCATTGGCGTTGTGAGGACCAGCTTTCTCTTGTCTTTAGCAAGAATCTAACATCTCATTTTGATTGTTCCTGCAACTCTGCATGAACGTGACCAAATGCTGGATGTCAGACTTCACCTACTCCTTGTTCCTAACTCCAGATTCGTTGCTCACAGAACCCACCACAAACCAGCTCCTCACTGGAAAAATCGCCAAACCCACAGTGCTGAAAAGTAGTCATTATCACATATGCTTTCAATTCAGATGGAGCTTTGCAGGAAACATGGCTAGTCTTCCACGGTTGGCCTCTGTGGCTAGAGCACTCGCAACCCAGAGCTTTGCCCTCCACTCGCCTGTGGGCATTTACTGCAAAGCGGTGTTGTGGGACCCACAGATGGGCCCCAGGGACTGAAAGCACCATTCCACATTCTACTTTAAAAATCAAAACAGATACCTAGAGGATTTGTATTTGAAAGAATTCTATTTTCTTTTGCCTATTTATTTTCTCTCTGATTTAATTTTTGATGATCCTAAAATAAATCAAAGTGTTGAGTAACATATTTAATTTGTAGAGCATAGATCCACCGCCAATAACTAAATTACAATTACAACAGAGTGGTAACGAAGAAGGAGGAAGGGAATCACCCGACAGACTTTGCCCAGCATGACGTGGGCTTCATGATTATCCTCATGGACAGGCCAAGAATGGTGGCCAACCTAGCAGCTTCAGACCCACTGGGGATTGAAACAAATCAGAAGCTGTTTAGATAATTGGTTGTACCAAAGAGAAGAAACCCATAAATCTGGGTGGGGAAGGAGAATGTTTCATGCTATTTTAAAGTGAAATCTGTTTGAATTGGCTGAGCTTTCTGAGGTTGGCTAGACTTTGCAACTCCATAGGCAGGAACATGGCTGTCTTCATTGTAAAGAACCAGTGATAACACCTATCAAAATCCTAAACTTGGGCGCCTGGGTGGCTCAGTTGGTTAAGCGTCTGCCTTCGGCTCAGGTCATGATCCTGGAGTCCCGGGATCGAGTCCCGCATCGGGCTCCCTGCTCGGCAGGGAGTCTGCTTCTCCCTCTGACCCTCCTCCCTCTCGTGCTCTCTGTCTCTCATTCTCTCTCTCAAATAAATAAATAAAAAATCTTTAAAAAAAAAATCCTAAACTTTGCAGCAATACACAGGAGACTGTGGTCTGTGTACATAAAATACGAGCAAAAGTCTTTGTTTCTCTCCTCCTAGCCACAAAGTTGCTCCTTTGGTTTCCTTTCAGAAAGCTTTGGGAAGACTTAGAAGGGGATTATTCAGCTCTGGAACCACAGCCTTTGTCCCTTTAACCCCTGTCCTGGGACAGTGTCTCATGGCCTGGCTCTGAACACCATCTCCCCTGCAGCTGGTGGAGTCTCCATCTACAGATGATTCCTAGCCTTGGTGACCTGCTGGAATCATCTGGGGAGTTTCAATATTGCTGAGGCCTGAGCTCCACCCCAGCATTTCTAGTTAACTTGGTCTGGGGCGTGGTATGAGATTTTTGAAAGCTCTTTGGGTGATCTTCAAGGGGAGCCATGATCTTCAAGAACCACTGGTCCTGGGACTCTCCTTCTTTAGCCTTGAAGTCGGTGGCTTTTTCCTATTAGAGATATATGGTTTTACTTACCTTGGACAAGGACACATAGGATCCCTATGTTATCCTTGGCACCACATTGTCAGCAGGGCCTGAACTGGACTAGGGACTGTCCTGGTGCGTGTGGGCAGGTGCTGGTTGTTTCCTTATCCTAAAAGAGTATTTGACTAAAGATGGGGTCTTAGTCGGTTAGGGTTGCTGTAACAAAAATACCATAGACTGGTGGCTCAAACAACAAACATTTACTTCTCACAGTTAGGGAGCCTAGAAGTCCAAGATCAAGGTGAAGGCAGATTCGGTTCTGTTGAGGGTCTCTGTCTGGTTCACAGACGGCTGATTTTCTGCTATGTCTTCATGTGGTGGAGGGGGCAAGAGAGGTCTCTAGGATCTCTTTTATAAGGGCATGAGTCCCACATATGAAGGATCCACGCTCATGACCTAATCACCTCCCAAAGGCTCCACCTCCCAATACCTTCAACTTGGGAGTTAAGATTTCAACATTGGAATTTGGAGGGGGACACAACATTCAGTTCACCACAGAAGGGCTCTCATAAAATGTTCCTGATGTCCAGTCAAGACCAGCAGGTGCTTGCTTCCTGGAGGCAGGGAAGGTAGCAAGGATAAGGAGTGAAGGAGGATAAGGGGTCCAATTAAACAAACAAAAATGGCCCTAAGAACACTTCTGTGGGGCACGAAGCTAATATGTTTTAGGGAGCCCTATTTAAGAAAAGCAAGATAAAATTAGGAATACAGAAGTAAGAATAGGGCCTTGGAAGATGTGTGGAGTGAGAAGTCCCGGTAAGCTGTCTATAAACCCCATTTGGCTGAAATGAGTGATCAGTGTAGCCTCACAGTGGGATCGAGGATGGTCGTTGAATGTGATGGGGTTGAAGCATACTTTCCATATGGAGAGAAATTTGTAAAATATTCATTGGAATTAAAAGGATCACAGAACAGCATGTAAAATCCTGCTCCATTTTTAGAAAATGCTATATGCACACTCATTTTAAAGTGTGTTTTATAGTCCAATAGAAAAGTGCACGTTGGGTTTCCTGTAAGCTATGGGACCTCAGGCCAAGGAGCGAGGTCACCGGACAGGAGATGTCACCGCCAGGCAGGACGCAGTGCCGCAACTATGGGATTGATGCATCCAGACCCAGTGCAGCTCATGGCTGGAGCTGCGGGCCCTCCAGTCCATAGTAGAATGACATAAAACTCCTTGCACGTTGCCTATGAACTATCTCCTTATTAGGCTTGAATGATCTCTCTTTTTTGGGAGGAGAGAAGAGGTGATTTCATTCATCCAATTACCTGCAATCTCTATATATTATATCACTAACATATTGCAGCGATTTCAATGATTCCTATGTGCTGTACCATGAGCACGTATGACCACAGACATCAGGAGAACTCCAGGAGACACCTTTCCTATATGAGAGCAGAGAGGAGGTGGGGAGGATCGTGGGGTGTCCACACGGCACATTCCCTGAGAAACACTTGGTGCATGTTGGATTTTCTAGATATGACATGGAGCATATCTCTTCCGGCAACATCTAACTGATCCTAAAACCCCGAACGCCGCCTAGCCTGGCATCCAGAGGGCTTGTTGTTCCTCCCCATGCAGACATGTCTGCCTCACACACCGGTTGCTTCAACGTGGTTATAGGCTTCCTTATGCTCACGGAAGCTTGTAGTACAGATCTTTCCAGGAGTGCTCACAAAATAAAGTCTACCACTAGGGAAAAACCCCCTTGTTGGTGTAATATCAGACCTGGGCATACCATGGGCCACAGGAGGAGGACAATGAGAGCATCATGATATGCACCCCCCTTTCCCGATGCAGTGACAGCAGCGAATTCGCAGTGACCTGAGCAGGAAGCGATGCTCCGTCCGCAACACTGGGATACAGTGTCTGGCATGCTCAGAAGAATCCAAAGACTCTGATCTAGAGGTTTTGGGTTTTATCCCTTGCTAGGGTCTAGACACAGCCCATGTCAGAGAAACATCAGAGGCAGTGCTTACAACAACGCCCCTCCCCACCCAAACAGAGGAAATGATCTCTGAAAACTGCAAACATATGCTGACGAGACCAATAATATATCTGTCTGCACACAGGGGGGCTGTCCCCACCACAAACTCTCACCAGGCCCCTCAGCTATGTCCGTAGGACCCACAGGAGCACCGACGTCTCCTTGCAGCTTCAAACAAATTGAATGTTGTTTCCTTTTCTTTCTTTCTTTCTTTCTTTCTTTCTTTCTTTCTTTCTTTCTTTCTTTCTTTCTTTCTTTCTTTCTTTCTTTCTTTCTTTCTTTCCTTCTTTCTTTCTTTCTTTCTTTCTTTCTTTCTTTCTTTCTTTCTTTCTTTCTTTCTTTCTTCTTTCCTTTCCATTCTTTTCTTTTCTTTTTCAGTTGTAATCATGCTCCACATTCACATGGCTTTGATTAGCGGGCACACACATGCTCCAAACCTAATGTCATCTGCGGCTTTTGATTTTATTTTCCCTTTATGGAACTGGAAAAATTGTAGTGTCCAGCCTGGAGATGGTTTGTCTTTGTTTTTCTGGCGGCCCCACAGCAGAGCTGGCAAGGGGGGATGGAAGGGAGCAGAGACTCCTGACTGCTGGGTTCTTGGGACAGCAGGCTGGCCCCAAGCCCAGTCTCCTTCATGTCCCCATCTCCCCTTGGCAAAGGCCCTCCTCTGCCTTCTCAACAGGCCCTCCATACACATACCCCCATGAGAGCAGCTGAGGAATCAGTGTGCTCAAATCTTGACAGCCCAAGAGGGACAGGACACAAGGAGGGTGAGATTGCATATTCCTAATTCCTAAAGACAATTTGCGGACACTACAGTATTTGACACGAAGATGGCCCTGGCATGGAGGGGATTTCTTGGTGTGCCCCACAGCAATGATGAAGGCAC